GGCAAACTCTCGATGTTTTCCATCAAAAATTTGACGAGGGGATTTGATATATAGTTTCTTAGTTAAGGGTAGTTTTGTTGTTTACATCAATAAAGTTTTATGTTCCAGGGTTTTACGCTCTTTCGTCTGACTTTGGGATATCATGAAGGAAATTATAGATACTCTTTTCACATACTTATCCCTACTCTCTTGCACTAGGGGTATATGGCTCTAGGGACAGCTACAAAAGAAGCCGACTCCATGTCTAGTCCAGTGATGAGTTGAAACTGTTCGCTGTATGAATATGCCCCGTTGAATTTTGGAGACGAGTTTGATACGCCATGCTTAAAAAGAAGTAAAAATTACATTTAAAGCTTTTTTTTTGTCAACCATAGTGATTTTTTAACTAGAAATTCTGTCTTAATTTACTTTCTAAAATTTTAACTTTTAAGCTTAGCCAAACATGCTAGATAAGTTGAATCTCGTTCAACAGCTCACTTGCTCCGAATAATGCTATTTAGCCTCACCGGTTCTTAACACCAATCTATGTGACATGACATAAACTGACGCTAAGTAGCATTACTACGCTTCATCAGGCAACGGACAATAAATTTCACCTCCATTTTTACTGGTTCAAGCTCATTAACCAGCCATGGTCTGGTACCATTCTGAACAGTGTTAAGCCTATACAATTTTTTAAGGAATATTCAATAAAATTGGAATGATACATAGAAGATAAACATAGCCACTGCACAAGGATGACAAGCACAAATTGATAAGATACATGCTATTGGATGTTAAACATTCTTTATACAGGCCTGACTAAAAAACAAGTGAAACTTAGTCAAATAGTGATGAATTATACCATGATATACCCCCAACTTTTTCCTCACAACAGAAAAGAAAAATGGAAAAGTTATTCACTGAGGTCACCGTGGAAATTCGAGAACAAGATACATGACCCATAACCATAAATTAAATCGTAAATCGTCTTTTTTCCTCATAGCTTTCTTCACACCAATCAAAACAAAACACAAGGATCTACACCACTATCGACAAATTCACACAGCTCGTATTCTGTCCAGCCAATCCACGCTCTTTCGTGCCTTCTCCAGTTGATGATCGATACTCCTCCGGGACTTCTCATGATATTCCACACTCCTCCGAGATCTCTCTGTCTGGTCAAATGATACTCTCAACTTAGAAAGCTTGTCATCAGAATGAATTTTATACTCATAATTTTTCATTTTTTCTGGCTTATCAGTGCTTTTTCTAGGTTTCTCCCTCCGGTCAGTGCTCTTTCTTGGAGCCTCAAAACGGTCAGTACTCCTCCTGGAATGTTCCGGCCGGTCTATACTTCTTCGGGAAGTGTTCCTCTGGGAGGGTGGTTTTTCAACTGTAGAAACAAACTTCTTTAGGTGCCTAATATATTCCGGATATAGTTCCAAATCACAGTGGTTTCCACCCTTCAGCCATAATGGTTCGAATTTCTCTTGAGATAGCTCGTAAAGTTGTTTGCCGTGAGAGCAGTCAACGACATCATCAGCAGTGCCCTGCATAAAAACATCGAAATGAAGTAGAGTGAATTCAATTGGCCATATCATAACACTGTTCAGGGGCTAAGATCCAACTTAGTAAGGCACTGGTTTGGTACAAATATTTCTCATGAGAATGAAGTTGCTTCGAAAGCCAGTGGAGTGATAACGATGTACAATATTAACTTGTTATGCATTCGCAAAGAGAAGATGTATACTTACATGAATAACCAGAATAGGACACTTCACCAATGGGATTTTGTCAATGTTCTGCACAACAACATAAAGTCATGTCCATACATGCAGAAAATGATGACTTTTTTTACAAGGGCATCCACAAAGATGTAAAATAACAAGGCACCAAAACAAGTATGGCAAGTGTAAGTAAAATATATTATTTATATGTTATTTATTTATTGGTTTACTTAAATTAGAATGATTTTTAAATGTCAAAACATGTGCCAAAATGTGTACCTTTGTAGCACATACAATTCAATTAGGGTAACGTGTCCATGTTCGACACGGGTCGGACACGAGTCAATACCAACACTTTTCGGACACTGTATCGTAATCATTTTTTTTTATATTAGCAATGTTATATATTATTAATTCAAAATTATTAACAAGTAACAAATAAGTACTCATATTTAAAAGATTTCAACAAGAAAAATTAATAAAATTATAAAACTAAATTTATAATATATAAATGAAGAATTTTTAAGAATTGAATCAACATGTTGATGATGTATCATGTCCGTACTTTTTTTAAAAATCGCGTGTCGGTATATTTGACACTTATCGTGTCGGACACACGTTTTCGCGTCGGTGCATCATAGGCGTGTATAATTGGTTTCAGTCCAAACAGGTAAATCAATCAATAAGGATTGACTATAAGTAAGCTAGCAAGTCAGGACTGGCTGGGTACTACAGGTAATCAGATTTCTTGGCTGCGGATTTTAGGGTTTCCATGCCTTAAACGAGATGCAATATGTACCTTTCATATAGTAGCATATTCAGAAATATATATTTACCATCTTAGATTAATTTGATTTGTCAAAGAATTAAAAGGAAAGATTATTTTAACAAATTAAAACTTTTCTTCATTTAATTATTGACCATATCAAATATATTCTACATTATATATTTACCATCTTGGACCGTTTTGATTGGTTGAATAATTAAAAGAAGAAAATATTACTTCAACAAATCAAAACTTTCCTTAATTTAATTATTGACCATATCAAATAGCAAAACATCCATATTTTAGGTAAGACACGTTCGTGACTTGGAGGGGTCTCTACATAAGTAGAGAAAACGACTAAGGGACAAACGAATGTTTTGAGAAAAATCTGCCTATGTCCGAAGAATCTGCAACAGCAAATTCTGAAGTCTTCTGACCATCTCCAATAACTTCTGACTGGCTGATGTTCCATTGAAGTACATTGAAGTATCTCAAAGTAAAAATCGTGTACTTCAACGGCGATTGAAGATATCACACTTGAGCATGAATAATATAATACTACTCAAAGCTCAGGCTACTTGGCGTGAGTTAAGATATTGGTGAATCTTAATTCAAGTAGTGGTTGTGGCCGAGCACAATAGTGAAGTGGCGATAAAGTCAATACCGGATGGTTTAATTCCATTTCCCCAAGTCAAAAGAAGAAAGAAAACGGGGGAGTTTTTCTTTATTTGCTTTTGATTGTTTTTGTTAATTTTGCGAAATTACAAAACCGAAACTATTGTATTTTTTATTCTTTGATAGTAGATTATTTTACTCGTGATATGAGTGCCCGTAGATGTTTCCCTTAGGGGTTTACCATGTTATATCTGATGTTCATCTTTATTTAGTTACACAATAGATTGTATCTTGTAAAACACAAATCCGTTAAGTTGAACAGTCAGGACTGTGCGTAAAACTGTCTATAGGAAGTTCTAACTGACTGACATATTCTAGCTAAAACGAATTATTGAGACAAATTGTTTAATTAACTAGGTTTTAGTACTTACATCAAGCAAGAATGATATTAAGAAGCACAATTGAATTAGTCATAGAGACATTTACCTTATAAATGTCAAACCAGTATGTATGCCTCACAGGATACATGACTCTTAAGCCTGACAGGATAGCACTATGTAAAACAACAGCCCTTAGTCGAGGCAAACGGGCAGCAAGATCTAAGGTCGGACCACTCCCAACAGATTGACCATATAGGATGATGTCTTCTTGCTTAGCCCCATAGCTCTCTTCGAGACACTTGAATGCAGCTTCAATATCAGCATAAGTATTGTGCTCACTTGGCTGCAGTAGAGTAAGCATACTAAAATTAACTGGTGCTCTCAGGTATTCAATCACTTTCTTGCATGATTGAGAAGCTTAAAAAAATTCTCATAATCAAATAAGTATGTTTTAAAATAAATATTTATTTTATTGGTCAAAGTTGGACATAAGTAACTTTTTTTGTTTACAAGTAAGAAAAGTATAATATATCCAAATATGTTTGGAAACAAAAATGTTCCTTCGAAAGAAGTAGATTTGCTATCAATAAAGTTACCTTTCCAGATGACTGCCCATAGCCTGAATAGTCATACCTGCATAAATTTTAATGAGCGTAAAAGACTTCAAGAAATGAGCTTAACTTAATTTAAGTGAAGTTAGCGGTATATGAAACAAAGCATCATAATCCAACAAGGCAGATTATAGCATAATAAAAGCACCGTGGAACCAATAACAAGGATTAATATGAACTGAGCATTTCGTATATAGTGAACACGGAATCTCACTTTTGCACAAGTGGCAATGTTCAAAGATTTTTATATAGCTTGATGAAACAAACACAAAACAAGGACATATTTCCAATCTAATATTAGAAGTCGTATTTGAAATAGAACAGATGAATAACAAACTCAAAAACTATTATTTTTAATTTATGCACAGAACAAATAGAGAAGAAGGAAGTTTACAGCTTCCATACAGAATTTTCCTTCAAAATGAGGAATTAACTGAGTTTTGAATTACACCATTAAATGCTCTTGACCAATCAATTCCACTAGAACTTTTCCGAAAATTCTTAGTTCCAAAAAATTCAGTGCCCTATCCCCTTCCTTACTTTGTTGTTGGAAATCAGCTATTATTTCCTATAACAGATTTTTTATTTTGTTTTTTTACTTTGCAAAATTATAGTTATGTCTTTCCTTTGTTGATAAAAATTGATTATTAAATAGCCTATATGCCATCAAACTAGACTTTGAGCTTTATCAAATATGATTTATGATAGCCATGTAAATGCTCAATCTGACCGACTCTCCAGATCAAGTTAATTACTTTGTTCGCGTTGTACTTTCTGATAAGCAGATATATCCCCAATTGTAGAGTATGGTCGTAGAACAGATGATGCACGAACCATGATATGGCAATGGAAAGAGTAAAAAACCACAATCCCTGACCATTTTCAAGTGGACAATACAATATTGGATGGTAAAATTTTAGGGGTCCATGCGTATCCTTTAGGGGGTGACATACAGTTGATGGAAGGTGCATTGTAGTCCCTGTGAAAACATCTGACCTAGATCAACATCGTTAAAGTATCTATATGTGCATAGTCAAGGGAATTGACAAAATGGATATATATAATAACTACGCTTGTGGAGAAAATGTGCCAGACAAAACTCAACATTTTGAAGATGGAAAATCTATTCCTACCCCAGGGCTACATACACGACAGAAAGAATGTAGGTATTTATCTTTCCACTATTAGTAAATAATTCAAACAGGTATTGCAAACATTTAAGATTTCCGTACACCTATTGCAGCTTCAATCGTAGGAGCAAGGCGTAGTCTGATTCACGAATATTACCCCCATTGGATACCCATAAATAAAACAAGATTTTTGGAACAAAAATGGGACCAATGAACGCCAAATCAACCCTTTCTACAATACAAACAAACCAAATATTATATAGGCAAGCCACTCATAAATAGACATTCTATATCCACAAATAGATACCTTTTTTGGTAATTATAAGCTAAATTCGTCAGAAATTATTGTATACGCAAACGTGTTTCAAAATTCCTACTAGGTAATTCAATTCACATCAATTTCATCAACACATAAAAAATGCCAAAAATGGCAGCTAATAACACAATTAAACAAACAGCCCATCAAGTTACATCCCAAAAATAGCTCATTCAAACACGAGAACAGTGCAAATCAAACAAATTTCAACTGGGTCACACCCAATTCCCTTCCAAAACCACATACATTCATAAAATCATCATAGAAATTCCCCAAAATTCCAACTCAATCAAAACAGAAATTGATAACAATTCAGTAATTGACTTACCCCATGAGATTGACTCTGAGGTGAATACTGAGCTCAATGAAAAGCTCATACATCTGCCCAATATCCGCCGCGTTTCCATGGGAATAAAGCAAGGTCGAGGTCGCCATAGGGTACCGTATATACATAGCCACAACCTCATTCCCCCGCCGTGTCGGCAGCTTCAAAACGTCGACGTTTTCACGGTGCGGAAATGGGTCCAACAGCAACAACCCAGTGGCATCATCCGTAATTACTTTGTAACTTGGTGGGTTCGGAGGGAAAAATGCTAGCTTCGCCGCCATTGATGACGTCACCCCTCCCATTGAGCTTTATCAATATGTGAAGTGAATTGCGAGATTTGAATTGTTGGAAGTTAAGAGGAAAGCCTGTGTGCGCGTGTGTACATAAATGAAGAGAGGAGTGGGGATGTTTTGGTGCAGAGTGATGATATACTTGGACCAGCTGTGAAGTTAACTGTTCATGAGAGGATGGTCACATGTGCAACTGCATCACTTTATTATTAATTTTTTTTTCTTTATTCCATCTCGTTTGAGGTGCTCGTTCTACTACGAGAGTTGATGTGCTACGGTATTATCGAACATGTCGATAACTATAGCTCAAATCACGACACGATGCTCTTATATCAAAATGGATAATTGCATTCGAAGCTAAATTGAAGTTCGAAAGCAAACTCTAGACATTTCATTTGAAAAAATTAATTTGAAGGCCTATTTTGACAAATAAGAGTCTTCATATTCAATAGCTTATGCATCCTTAATGAAAAACCTAACTACTACCAAATTTGGAGGGGCCTCGAAATATTATTTTTCGTGTATAAATAATTTTAATCTACTAGGAAAGTGAAGAAGTACTTTTAAGCAAAAAATGAAAAAAAATAATTTCTTTTATGTGTTGGTTCTTTGCTCGAAACGTTTTACAATTATTTTTACGAGCTCACGGGTGGTAGAAATTGCGAAGAAATGGTCCCGCATGTTAGGTTTATAGGTAGAATATTAGAGTATCATTTTTATTTAGAGCTTGTTTGACAAGAATTAAAATCCAATTAAAATTGAAAATATAGCCGCTATTAGGTTCCACCCGTCTAATAAAAGTCAACTCCAACGACTATATTTTCAATTTTAATCCCTCCCAAACAAGCTGTTAATCTATTTGAGACATCTATGCTTAAAAATTGTTCTATATTCTAAATTTATTCGGAACAAGGGGGATTAGGAGATTAAAAAAAAAAATGATAATTAGGATTTATCGTAAAGAACACCATCTCAAAATAAAACAATTTTTCTTATTGAAATCTATTGTTTTCAAAATAATAAATAACAATATAATTCCTATCCTATACGCATCAAGTAACTGAACAACACTTGACAAAAACATTTTGATATTCTAAGCTTGATCACTCATCGACAAATAGAAAACCGTATCTTAAAATCGCTACCTAATAATGTAAATTAATCAACACGCATATGAACTTCATGATTTGATTCTAATCTTTTCTTCTCATAACACAAATTTGTTCATCACATCGTCAATGTAAACTTTTTGGTGTTATTTTTGCCTTTGCTATATGACATATTTGAAGTTTGGGATATCGACACTGTTACTTTCATAGTACACAATATTAAAAAAGAAGAAGATTTTTTTTTCTTTTTTTACTTTTCGATTTTGTTCAATTTGACACATCGAGGATCGCTCAAAATGTCGAGGAAACAAGAATGCATTGATGATTACACTTTTTACCCCCATAGAAATGGGATCATTGCTTGTTTTACACCAAAAATGGTCAAAATTACCACATTAATCAAAGACTATGAGCTGGTTTCTAGTTGGAAGTGCTGGGGCCGGTGCTTGGGAATTGGCCTCACATGTCTCTTTCCATAGAATATTTGTTCTTATGTCTAGGACTATTTGACCATTCAAGTCGATATTAGCATGGTGAACAAAATAATACTAGATAATATTGAAAAAAGGAAAGTTATGAAATTTTCGTAATACTTTTTTTTTTTTTTTTTGTAAAACACAATACTGCATATCAAAAATGTATACGATAAATTTTGGTGCAATGAACCACGAAGTTAGGTGGTCCCCGCAAAGTGACCCTAATGATTTTTTATCGAATACAAAATTTAATTACTATATTTTCTTTCGATTTTGCTACGGGTACATCACGGTATACATCACGGTGTACATTCCTCTCACATAGGGGGTGAGATCCACTCAAATAAAAAAAATATTATTTCAGTGGGTTCCACACTCCATGTGAGGAAGGTGTAGACCGTGATGTACATATTTTGATGTACAAGTAGTATTTTCCATTTTCTTTCTATATTGTTTAAGTAGATTGATCCAATTTTATTTTAAGCAAAAGTTTTGAGCCAACGTTAGCCTATTGGCGACGTGGCCAACGTTAACATTCAGATTAATTTTTGTCTATGGTCTGAGAAGTAGCATAATGATCATTTCGTGATCAAGAACTTCAACAATTGTTCAGAACATGGTCACACGACAATTAGCGAGCTTCAAAATCGGGAAATAGCTGAACAACAATCTTTAGCCCAAAGCTGTTTGGTTGAATAAGTTAAAAGTTATGCTCTAATCTTAAAAAGTACTTATAAAAATTTGTTTACGTGTCAAATTTTTAATGACAACTTCAATTAGATTTAAATGTATACGAATGCGTCGAGGAAGTTGCAGACACTCGTGTTGGGAAAGTTGAAGTCACTTTCTTGAGGTGAAGAGAAATAGCCCACATGTCCATTCCCATTGATTTTCCTCCATAAATATAGCAAAAATGGTGTAATTAAATAGTGTAAAGTGGAGAATTTTTATAGAAAGAAGAGAGGGATGTCCGAAGCTTCGGATCTTGTTATATTTTAGTATGATATATAGTTTGAGGTGGATAAGCACATCGAAACATTTATTACGTAGCATAGAATAATTGGTTCTCATGTTTCTTCTTTTTCTTTAGCAAAATAAAAAAAGTAAAATAAAAATTAGGGACCCGGTGATATGGGAGGCGACAACCGAAGTCCTCGTGAATAGTGGCCGTAAGGACTGTAATTATACAATCTTGCTATATTGTCAGATAATTTTGTCATATTCATTAACAGAAAGTCACATGACGTTCTGTCATCAAATTATTTATTGCCACACCTTATTCTGGCATCCAAGATGTTAAAAACATCTGACAAAATAGATTAATTGACCTTCTGTCATTGAATAATTTAAAAAACAATCCATACTGTCATCAAATTATTTATTGCCACACCTTATTCTGACATCCAAGATGTTAAAAACATCTGACAAAAAAGATTAATTCATAATTATAACGATCTGACTAAAAGTATTAAAATACCTTATAGAGTAAGTTTCAATATGCAGGAAGGACAATTGAGTTCTTAATGTATATATTATTTTATTCTCTTTTTAAGTTCCATTAAAAGCATGGGATGTGTGCATAATTTTCCCGAAAAAGATTAGTTTATCAAGTATATGTAGAGTCTCTTTTCCAGTATGATTTTTAGAATAATTGGTTTTTATATTTCTTTTCCATTCTCTTTTTCTTTAGCCAAAATAATAATAATAATAATAATAATAATAATAATAAAGAAAGTAAGTTTCTTTTTTATTATTTTTCTTTTCCTTTTAAAATTTCATGATAAGCAAGGGGAATGTATATACAATTTCCCTGAATACGATTATTCCAAATGTATGAATTCTAGAAGTCTCTAATTATTTCTCTGTTAAATTCTATTTGGGAACAATTTATCGTTGAATTGACATAGCCCTCGTTTGAACTCCATTATTAGAAAAAAATTGAGTTTGGAATAATGTTTTTTGGAAAATGTGTGGTTAAAAAGTAAGAAATTTTTGGAGTCCCTCCCCAGCGTGGTGAGGGTTTTCTATCTCCCTCAGTGGGGTTTTCTTCCTTCCGCCGGTGAAGGTTCTTGGTCTGTTCTCGTGGGTTCGTTTTGGGGGGGAGGGGGGAGCTCCGGTTTTCCCCTTTGTTTCCTTTTCTTTTTAGTTTTCCCCCTTCCTTTTCTCCCTTTGTCTTCCTTTGTTGGTTCCCGTGCTATCGCCGTTTTGCAGGCGTTGGTTGGGCGGGGTTGTGGTGTGGTCGGACGAGCAGTGGTGGCGGTTTTCGTGTCTGCTTTGGTAGGAGAGAGGGGCGATCGAGGTTAGGTC